ATTTAGCCCGTTGTTGCTGTTGTTGTTGTTTTTGTTTCTGCTGCTGACTGCCTATAACATATTACGCAGGATGTTAAAGGTTTTCAGCAGGGTAAGCAACGTGCCACTTAACCAGCTTGTTAATATTCTGGTCGACAGGCACATGGAATCATGTGAAAAATGGGCTAAAACCATTTTATCTAACTCACACCACCCTCTTCACTCACAACTCTCCACTTGCATCTCATCAGGCAAAACCAGAAGTCTATTTAGAAAACTATATGCTTGTACCAGCAAGTACAAAAACTCAACCATACCCTACTTGGCTCGTGTTCTGTGCGATAAAATAAGCATTAGGCGTGACACCTATAATTCATTAAATAGTCTCTTTTTTTCCGTTATGTGCTACTTTGTTTCTTTCTTCCGCTTACCCCAGTAAATATGATAGCACCTACTTTTCTAACACCTTCAAGCACTGTTTAAACTTTACCTTTGCTACCGACATGCCGATGTGTTGTTTTAATAATGAACTGAGATTTCCTTAATCTATGTAGAATTCTATTTATTGATAGTGTACTAACTGGATGCAATACTGTAGTAAAAATGCTGAGAATTCCATTCTGTATCACAAGTACTGTTTTGGAATAAAGCAAATTATTATTATTATCTTCATTATCTCTATCTCCTCCAAGTTCACTTAAAGTCCCCATCTCTTCTGTCTGCCTCTTCTGTTAATTTATTGGTTCGCGGACAATTAGGTCTTCAAATCTGTTTGACACTAGAGATAAATTAATTGTCCACAAATTTTCAGATCCTCTAGATTTCTTTTTGTCTGTCTAACACGTACCCGTTTTGAAACAGATACTACAGGTACAGTATGCAAAGTATTAGGCACAATTTGAATGACATGCGTCGAATGAAAAATTAATGCTTTTGTCTAAAATCAGTACTGTCCACACTTTCACCTTTCAATCAAATTGGAAAAATTCGATTGCATACTGTAGCTCTAACAGGGAGCAGACAACACCTAAATTGTCAGAAAAGCCTAGAAGAAAAAGTATCCATAGAATAATTTTTTTACCTTAAAAAGTTGAAACTATAGAAATTTTTTACTCACACACATATATGTGAATTAATTAATAATGAACTATGCTGAATGACTGATGAAATTTCTCAAGAAATCTTATTCGTTTAAATGTGTACTCTTCGAAAAACCTCTCTGAATTGGTGGTGGTGTGGGGGAGTGGGTAACTGGAAAAAGAGAATGCTTTGTGAGGCAGATATGAGCGATACAAAGCGCAAAAAATCAAGTGAAGCTCAATGAAGATATTTTTCTAAATGTAACAGATAAGGAGTGATCTAATTTTTTTTCTTAAATCAAGAACGTTTTATTCTACACTTCAGTAGTAGTTCAAGATTGTTACACTTTAAAAAAGCACATAATTAGGTAGAGGGAGAAAGTGACCAGCAACTATTATAAACAGAAATGTGATGAAGATGGGATGATTTTGTAGACGACAAAAAGATTTGATCAATATGAGAAGTGACAATCACTGAATTAGTCGATTTTATCACCAACAGTCTAGTCATTGGATTTTAGCCTTTTCAAAATCCTCAGCCAAGCTTATTATTATATTATTGTTCCTTTGGGTTCCTATTGGAACATAGGGCTTCAACTGCTCGCCTCCACTTGCTTCTGTCTTCTGCTGTTCTTTTCACTTGCTTTCATGTTAATCCATACTGTTTCAACTCTTCTTCACACGATCTCCTCCATGTCACCCTTGGACCTCCCACTCGCCGCTTCTATTTCGGGTTCCACTCGAGGGCCTGACGCGCGATGTCCCCCAACGGCCTCCTCAACGAGTGCCCAATTCATCTTCACTTTCTCCTGCATATTTATTTGAGCGATTGGTTATGGCTTTGTTTCTTCCTATAGTTTCTTGTTGGTGATTCATTTCGGCCATCTGATCTTGAGTATAGAACGAAGACAGTTGTTGATAAAGGTCTGCGGTGTCCTGTTGGCTATATTCTTTGTGACCCGCCGCCAAGTTTCTGATCCGTATAGAAGAACTGACTGACTTGACGTTTGTATTGAAAATCCGAATTTTGTTGTTGATGCTGAGTGACGAAGATTTCCAGATTGGTTTTAAGTTGATGAACGTGTTTCTCGCCTTCCCGATTCTCGCCTCGATTTGACATCGTCGTCGGTTCCTCCTGTAGTTGAGACGATGCTCCCTAGATAAGTGAATGAAGAAACCTCCTTCAAATCCTTCCCGTTGATAGTGATTGGCGCTGGATGCTGCTGCTTCTGTTGTTGTTGTTGGTTGTTTATTTTAATAACCTCCGTCTTGTCTGTGTTCACCTGGAGTCTTGTCTTCGCCGGCTGCTTCTTCGACCAGTTTGTCGGTTTTCGCTTGTAAGTCTTCGATTTTGTGTGACATCAAACATAAATCACCCACGCGCGAAATCCAGGTCTTCTAGGTTCTTCACGTCGGTCCAGGATATCCCTGTCTTCTCGTTTCCCACTGTCTGACGCATAATCCAGTCCATCACAATTAGGAATATCATTGGTGATAATAATCACCCTTGTCTGACTCCTGTGTTTACTCCAAACGCCTCGCTGGATCACTTGACATGTGCCGTTGTCATACAGCTGTTGAATAAGGTTGATGAATATTTGGGGTACGCCGTAGTACTCGAGTAGTTTCCAAATTACTTCGTGGTCAACGCTGTCGAAGGCCTTCTCAAAGTCTATAAAGTTGAGTTATCCAATGAAATATGTTAAGCAGTTTCACAATGAGTTTGTGACCATTAATTCTAAGCAGCCTGAGGGCTCCAGACAGACATTGCATTCCGAGTGGAGCATAGGGCTTCAACAACACCTCCCCACTTCGTTCTGTTTTCTGTTGTCCTCTTTATCTGGGTCCACGAATGACCAAACTCTCTCATCTCTGCTTAACGATCTCCTCCATGTCACCCTCGCAATGACGACCTACTTGTCGCTTCCCATTTGGATTCCACTCGAGCAAGGGCCTGGGGTGCGATGTCATTTGGGGGCCTCCTCAATGTATGCCCGATCCATCTTCACTTTCTCCTAAATATTTGTTGGGCGATCGGCTCTTGGTTGGTTTGTTCCACTGCAGAGTTTCTCGTTGCTCATTATTTCTGGCCATTTGGAACCAGCGAAGGAAGCTGTTGATGAAAGTTTCCAACCTGTTGGAAATCGTTTTCGTGACGTGAGCGCTGTGCAAGTTTCTGACGCGTATAGAAGCACTGACCGACTTGACATTGGTGTTGAAAATGCGAATCTTCTTCTTTATGCCGAGTACAGAAGATTTCCAAACTGGTTTCCCGAAAGACACTTCATGTTTTTTAGTCTAACTGCTGTTCTACTTCAACTTACTAACCTAGAATATGTAAATTTGCAAAGGAAAGTTTAAGGTTAAATACGCACACTGTCTTAACATCCCACACATCATAATCGAACAGAGAATGGATTGGCTGCCAAATATCTACCTCAACTTTACTGACTGTGAATAGGCCTTCGACAGCGTTGACGCAGAAGTAATTTGTACACTGTTTCAACGGTATGGAAGGCCCCGAAATCTTGTCAAGCTCATTCAACACAAATATAACAATGCTAAGTGTCAAGTGTTTTACAACAGGAAAACTCAGCGAAGCCTTTGAAGTAAAGGCAAGAGTATCAGCGATGGGATACCTGATTGTGTCAGACTGGATCATGCGGCATATTGTACTCGGAAATACCTTCAACTGACAAGAAGACTTTAAAAGATTTGCATTTTCCAGACAATATATGTCTGTCATACAAACTGGAAGATGTAAAACAGAAAACCAACAAGCTGGTAGAGGAGGCAGGCAGAGAAGCCAGGCCATCACGTAGACATAAAGAAGGCAGTGGTGACGCGGATAACTGATCATTACCAACCAGAGGTCATTTCTTTCATTTATTAGGGCAGCATCGTCCCAGCAACAGACAATGGCACGTATAAGGTTGTGGTGAGAGCTGTCTGCTAGCCAAAATTGGAAGACAACAATTTACCTCAATGTTTACGTCCCAAATCTTGGTCATGAGAAAAAACAAGAACAAAGACTAAATCAACAACCAATCACAGCGAAGTTTACGTGGGTGGATACGACTAGCAGACTGTCTAAGAAATGGCAACAAAGAGATGACAGAATAACCTTCAGCAAGAAAACAACCAATCAGAAGACGTTGCTTCTCTGCTAAGAATAACGAATAATAATGCACATAAAAATACATAAATATTGGTTGATTTTCTCAATAAACGATATGTTGCCTAGCCCTTGTCTTCTGTCGTTACAAGGATGCTAAATATCAGGATCAGAAAAGCAAGGCAGACGTTCATTACTCCGAAATCAGTGTGGAGGGCAACTGCACACAGAATAAGGAAATAGACACAGAATTAAAAAATCAATACCAGGTCAGTGTTTCTCTATAGTTGACAGTCTTGGCGTGCACATCATCAAAAGCAGAATTTCATTAACAGCCATCCTCATCCTATGGTGAAAACTAAATAGCCAGAAAGGATAAGCAATGAGAAAATCTAGTACTTCAGCGAATCAACCAAGAACGTACCGCTCAACAAATATGCAGAGGAAAGTGTTGACGAAGTGGAAGCAAGATGAAGAGACACGCTAAACTTGAGCGAAACCCGGATAGGAAACAACGAGTTGTGTGCGTGTGCTCGAGAATGACATGGTGAAAATTGTACGAGGAGGAGATGAGAACGCATGAGCAGTCATTCAGTCAGCTGAAGAGGAGTCCAAAGGACAAAATCAAGCGTATATATGCTATTCAAGTCCTATGTTCCACTCAGAACTATCTCATCATGGAATCACCACGGTTCGGCAATGGCTTCTAACACCTGAAAACAAAATTTTATACTACGGAATTATCAAACGTGAGTCAGTTAGTTCATCAACACACAAAAAACGAACACTATCATCACATGAAATGGAATGAACATGAATGCACTTACCTTGTAACTTTAAATACCCGCAGTAGACGTGCACAGCGTAGAACAGATACACCTAACGGTGGCATAACTTTAGTTTGAATTAATACAACTTCAATGATACTGCAGATAACCACAAAAAAATCGAATCGATTGAACATAAAGTCAAAATAGCATCTTATGCCTAAACTGTACATTTTAATTAGCATTTCAATTGAGAAGAGGACAACAAAAACAATATTGGCCATATCTATAGATGGATCAATACATGGATGGATAGGGAAAGAAAAAAAAGAGAGAGAAAAACAGGGAAAAGGGAAATAACATTGAAAAAAAATAAACAACAAGAGAGATGCAAAACACAACAAAATCAATAAAAAATTGTTAAAGAAATAAATAAATAAACAAAAGATTAATTTTATTTCTAATCAAAGACAATGTCAAATAAAATGCATTAGACTGTAATATTTTATCTGAGTAACAGGTAGATTAGTCTACTTGACAGCTGTGTTTGAATGCTGTGAACGCATGATGTTCAGTATTTGCTTCCCTTCACGTCGATGGCTGTTAACTCCCAGCTAGATTGTGCCAAAATAAATAGCTTTCTGTCGGGAGTCAGTAATTGGTCTGAGTCTAACTGTCTTAAACTGAATCCTTCTAAATATCAAACTGTTTAATTTCAGCTTAAGATGTAGAAGACAGTTAAAAGAAGCCGTCGATTCCCATGACAGTTGTAAGATTGATGACAATGATATAGGAATTAAATCAGAAATTAAGTATCCTGGACTTATTCTCTCCTCTGATCTCTCCTGGTCTTTCCATATGTTAGTGATCTCCAGTAAAGTATTCCGCCTGACATTTTACATTAAGAAGTTAAGGCACTCGGGTATAACTCAACCCCTCCTCTTACAGTTCATAAACTCTTGCATCCTACCTATTCTTCTTTATTGCTCACCCTTATTCTTTCCTGGTTTGTTTAAAAAGCACTATGTCACAATCCGTAGAATGCTGAAGACTGTCAGTCAGTAGGGTGAGTGGTGTCCCAGTGGACCACATAGTTAACGTCGTTGTCGATAGGCACTTGACTTTATGCAATAAATTTGCTAAAGGGATTTCGTTTGACTTCGAGCATCCACTTCACCCTCAGCTTTCGCCTTGCATCTCCTCAGGTAGAACAAGAAGTAACTTCAGAAAACTGTATGCTCGCACGTCTAAGTATAAAAATTCTATGATACGATACTTGGCACGTATTTTATGTGATAAAATTAGTGTCAGGCAAGAATTGACTAACCTTTTTTCATCCAGTAAATAAACGATCTCCTCCATCCATCCATCCTTATATACCTTCAAGTTTCACTTTAATTATTTCTATTATATTTATGGTCCTGTTGCTTCTTTGTTTTTACTTTCATAACTGTAAACACCAACTTATCTCTATGACTGCTGTAATCTTTGTTTTCTCCCTCACCATATCATGTAAAGAGAACATTATATTCAATATTTTTAAACATGCTAGGATTTCTATACCGCATCGACAATACTGTGTGAAACAAGCCCACGGCAATTTTCACTTGTATTATTATTATTATTACCTTAGCTGTTATCATTATTATTATTATTTCCATTTTATATGCTGCATGCTTTTTTTTGACATTACCTCTATTGTAAATGTGGAAAATTTTCTGTGTGATTAATTTTATTTATAATTTGAGGAAATTAGATGCAATATTGTGATTAATGCTGAAAATTCCATTCTGTATCACAAGTACTGTTTTTGGAATAAAGTAAATCATTATTATTATTGAAATAGTAAACATTTAAAGCTTTTGATAATCTTCAACCTGCACGTGAAAGACAAACTGTCGCATTTGGCCATTTCTTCAACACTGTCCATAAACCAGTCCACATCTTCGTGTGGAGCTGAGAACATTAAAGCGTACCATGCATTCGCCTGTGAAACGCACTCGGGAACACTATTCAGTAAAGGGAGAATGCAAGTGTGTTTATCACTCAAGAAGAGAACATTTGATGAATTCAGGATATCCAGCTGCATTTAGAGAGTCCTTCAAAGTCAAAACCAAGATCCCATCAAACCTGTCATACGAATGTATAGCTATCTAATTGGTCAATCCATTGAAAATAAAATTTTTCTTGACGGAACTGTCTTTTTAATAGTCTAAGCTGCACATGTAGTCAGCATGAAGCGTGAATTTGGGCTTATTTCGACTATCTTTAGAACCTGATTAATCCTCAGTTTTGTTGTACTACAAAAATACTTTGATTTTAACAAAAATAATTTTATTTCCAATGTAGGTTTCGTCATGAATCCACAATAGCTGGAGAATCAGAATGCCGTGAGTCAAGTGGATGTTTGTTTACCAGTAGCACGGAACAGTGTTAGTAAATTGACAAAAATGAGAACTGACAGGTGACAGGACGCCAAGTCAGTGGTTATATGTTGAACCATGAATGTATATAGTTCGACACCTAGTGAGATCAAACTGTGGCGTGTGCTACTCACAAGATTTACCAATAGTAGTATTTAGACACAAACTGTTAGGAAATGACATTTTAAGAAGTGGAAATGTTTATTCCTGATATCTGGATTTAGCTTACGTTGTGGTCACGAAATAATCTCATTGGACAGCGGTTCATCTGATAGTTTAACCTTCAGAAAACCAACAACTAATCAGAACCGACCCAACCAACCTTAAAAATGGCTAAAAATGCATTACGTAATAAAAATTTGTTAACAAATCTCTTGTCTTCTCTTGTTACAACACTTGTTCAAAATAGGACGATATAACTGTCCAGTACTCCATGGTTGTCAATGGTCCCCTAACTGGTATCATTTTTCTCCCTCCTTTATTTTTCTCTTCATTCCACTTTTATTGGTTACAGTTTGCAGATAACACCATCATTTTAAATTCTTGTCTTCAGTCTGTCAGTTGTACCTTTTTTAGATTATTTGGGTTTTTTTCGAGAATCTTTCCAGCGTCATTAAATAGAGAAAAGAATTGCCGTTTTCGATGACAGTTTCTCAGTTAGACAGTTTTCATTTCAAGGCGTTTTATTCCCTACACTCAGTCCTTTTAAATAAAGCAAGAACAATAGTGGTTTGTGCAGAATAATATAGTACCATCACTTATTTATTTATTAAACAGTGCCATCGCCAGGCATCTTCTCAACACGGGTCATGGGGTGGAAATCGAGAAATCCTTTAAAAGAATGAATAGACAAAGGAGCTCCATTCTCCTCAAGTTTACCGACGCAATTTCTATCAAATGCTTCAAACCAGATTTATGTGTTCAGAAAGAAGCAGTTATTAGTCTTTCCTTGCCATGGTAACTGGATGTCTTTATTCTCTACTCTGATTACGTAGTCTTTGTCTTTAACCTCACCCCTCTTTTTTATAATCTGTAATATTGCTTGTCTCTTGTTTCTATGACATGATTTGAACTCAGTATATCGTTACCAAATTTATTCGTTACTCATCATCTTACTCACCTCTCGTCTTTATTACGTAGCTCCTTTACCATTGTATGCATACATTTATTTTTTTAAACTTGAACTGCCTGTGTAAAAACTATATAAGCACAATTTTCTGAGCATTTTTCACTAATTGTGGAACTTTCTGTCAACTGACAACATGTAAAATTTGCAAGTATGTTAAAACTTTCCTGTACGTAAACCTCACAATTTATTTAGGCTGTAAGCAGCTGATGAGAAGACAATGAAATAAATGATGGTAACATATTATTCTGCACAAACTACTGTTGTTCCTACTTTATTTAAATTCATCAAGGGGAATAAATGCACTCAGTCCTTTATACACTGGTACTTCTAACCGTAAAGCAGGGCATGAATAGAAGCCACTGTCATATATATTCAGGTTTAATTTTTTGTTTTATAAAAGTAACCTCGGAAAAATACCAAGATTTAAGGACATTCTGTTTTGACAGACTTTTATTTAATGTGGAGAATACCCTCCTGCTTGAATATTTATTTCATTGTTCTAGTTTTATTTCCCCTGACAATCTCAGGGACATTTATGTCAAAATTAATTAAGATAGCGCGATGCTGTGTTTTTCCTTAACATATATTTCTCAGGTTATTGAAACTAATTCAACAGGGTATAAAAAACATCACATAAAAAAGAAACAGTAATCAATAGTTTGATTCACCTCAGGATGTATTCTTCTCATTAAATCTTTATCAATTGATGAAGTGTTACGTATCGCTTAATACTTAACAGGCTTTTTATCTACGTTTAAATTTCTACAGTGGAAATTTACTTATAAACATATAAAACATTATAAGATCTATCAATGATACAGAGTTAATTAACTGGTTTCAATTCTGATTACTAATTGATATCAGTTAAGGGACCAATGAAGTTGTGACCAGCCAGGTTCACCGAAATCCGGGGATTTAAAAAAGTTAAAACTCACAGGTCATCAGATTCCATCCCACTGGCTAAATGGTTAACAAGTTCGTGACGTCACCTGAATTCCATGTTGGGGTTATGGTCGCGTACCATTGAAGAGTCCCCAAATAGGACGAAAAATGTGTTCAGGATTGTTTGGTTTTCAGTGGTTCCCTTAAATGATATCAATCCGTGAACAAACTTTAATTCTGATTTGACACTAGTAACTAGTGTGACGTGACTAGTCCTTTCTTTGGTGCAGACTGAATTCTATCAGTCAGATATTTGCAATGTGGCCACCATACCACTAGGTAGCTCACCATTACGGTGCACATTGATTTGATGATATTAGACAGTTGGAGGCAATCGGCCACAGGAAGCCTTGCTTGACCTAGGTTTCGTGCTAGTTGACACTCATCAGTCAGCAAGGCGTATCGGCAACCTTGAAGCTCATTGGTAACGTCTGTGACTGCAGCACTGGATGATGCGGGTTCGACGGGGGACATGAGTTCCTTCAAGTTTGCAGATACGCCTTGCTGACTGATGAGTGCCAACTAGCACGAAACCTAGGTCCAAGGCTTCCTGTGGCCGATTGCCTCCAACTATCTAATATCATCAAACTTTATTTCTCTCAGTCGATTCAGCCACATAGTCACCGAGCTAAGTGATTCATCACTGTGGTACACTTGAATTGGTGTTAAGGAGTTGAATGGGAATGAAATAAAAGACCTACGTTACTTCCCACCTTGGATTGTCTAAACTCTCAATATCCTCTTTGAGATTCTAACCTGTATGGGCTGACTAGCTGGCTGGATTCAACATAGAACTTGGCACCGAAGTGCACCAGTTCGAGTTGCCACGTTCCAAATAGCACACAAAGGTAGACAAGAAAATGAGTGACGAGAATCAATAGAGTTTTGACAAGTATAAGAGTGAAACAGAATGAATAATGGTAGAAAGGAATATGAAAGATTACAGAGACCCCTTATTGCCTAGTGATTCACTCAGAGACGATATTACTGATATTCAATCTCTCCTGGTTTTTAAATTCCACTCTGAAGAATATTCAAAGTGTTTCTGTGTAATATGATTCAGATGCGTAGAAACCCTTTTTTAAAAAAAGATTATTCCGAACGCTGAATACATATTTCTTTTCGTCGTCAGACGAGAGTATCTACTCAAAGGAAGGAAAATTTTTCTTTTCGAGGCTATTGAAAATTACTTGTTGTCCATTCTTAGAACTTTGCTTTTTAATGTAAATTTTCGAAAGTACCTTAGTCTGTAATAAGAAAGCAGTTCTAAAAGTTGCACACACTTATATATATATATATACATATATATATACATACATAAGATGCAATTGACAATAAAGAAATTGGTCTAAATTCTTGTAAATATTGACTTAGTATCTTCTTACTCCCCCCTTTCCGACATTTCAGATTAAGCGGGAAATTTGTTTGTTTAAATAAACAATCTTCATCTCATGTAGCACATGTTTTTCGGGCAGCGGGCGGGGGATTTGTGGTTACAGAGGGATGAATAGTTAAAAAAAGCGAAAATACAAACAAATAAATTTTCGTTTTCATTTTAAGTTTGGGGAGGGGGAATTCATAAAACTGTCAAATATTAATAATAATAATAACTTTTAACAAAAATGTTACCTTGGAAATCATCAAGCCATAAAGGTTGTCCATAATGTTCTGATGTAAGAACACCGGTATTAAGAAAGACAAGAACAATAACTATCCAATAGAATGTTTGCGATTTAACCAGTCGTCGACAAGAACGTCGACAACGTCGATTCCATCGTCGAGATCGTCTCCTAATTAAAGGGAGATGAATAGGTATATTGTAAAAATGAAGTTTGATTTATTAAAAGATTCAGTTTCAAATGGTTCTCTCTAAGTGATACTTAGTCTGGCGCTTACCAGCTACTGGATCTATACAGGAAGTTACCGCTGAGTTTTAGTGAAGAGTCTTGACCAGTGGAGTCTATCAAGTTAGACAGGAGAAGAGTTATTCGCTGACGACACTGGCTGATGGTTGTGCAATATATTACAGGAAGTTAGGAGTGATGGGCTACTGTATCGGCCCCCAGTGGCTGAATGGTCTACCAACCCACCTTGTACCTGCAAGTTCCTGTGTTCGTACCTTGGAGAGGAGAAGGTACTGATGAAGTGTCATGAACTAGGACGAAACAGCTGTCCAGTACTCTCCGGTTTTCCAGCGTTTCTCTAAGTGATGTCCAATCGTGATTAAAACTGTATGTTCCATTTAAAGCGTATACTTGTACAACAAATATTTTAAAGTAAACGTAAAACATTGTAATTCGAATTTCCAAAACTTTAATACTAACACTAATGAATACAGACGCTTTTGTAATGTCTAATATCATATAAAGACGATTAATAATTCATCAACATCCCAGGGTCATATCACTCTACTGTTACAATGAAATAAGGTGTGTTTTACCTTATGATGAATAAAATAAAACAATATTAGAGAGGGTAAAATATTAATTTCTTAACGTCAGTCAGCTGGTGGTGGCTAACAGTGAAATTCAAGATGCGCATTTCGCAAGCTCATCAGCTGGATTCACTCACATCCCCAGTAAGTTATAGTGTTACAAGTGAAACCCACAACCAGCACTCATTGTCGAAGCATCCGTACTAGCATCTGACCCTGTCAACACAGATAGAAAATTCCAGTCCAGTGTAGTCAGTCAAGAGGAGATCAAATATAACTCTGAAGAAAATGGAGATGGATCCGGAGCACTCTGAGGAGACTGTTGGGCGAAATCGTGAGCCAGGCATACCCCAAAGTGGAAAACGACGAATTTGGCCTCCGAGGTGACTCACATGAGATCGTGTGAAAAGAAAATTGGAGCCTATGGAAAATCGTGCGGTCAGCCAAAGAGGACCTCAGAGGAGAGAACAAAGTGTAGATGTGTTGTTGAATCCCTATTTCCCAAATGGAGCTCAAGGAATAATAACAATAATATTGCCGTTATTCAAAGTTTGAAACCGTTTAAAACACCTCAAGATAAACAAAACAAGTAATTGTTTATAGGGTTTTGATTGGTTTCTGTTTAACCATTAATTAACATGAGTTGAATAACTACTGAAAATCAGGGAATTGTAAACAAATGTTTTGTTTTAGTTTTCATCTCTTCAGCACGGATATGTAGTGCTGTTATTTTCCTTCACGTTCCGCAGTGGAACATAGGGCTTCAAGCTTGTGGATTGAAGTTTCTGTAGCAGTGTCTTATTTTACAGGTTTAGGTTGCTAGCCTCATGCCCAACCTTTCCTCTTCACCAGCATTATTTCTGGCATAGCGAGGTAAAGGAGTGCGTTGGCCAGTGATCGAACCCCGGACCATGTGCATGGTCGGCGAGCGTCCTAACAGCTATGCCACCGACGCATCCTTTCTTCAATATAACTTGAGATACACAAAGTAGGTACAGTTTGAATGCGAAGGATCAGAATCTGACACAATCCTCTGTAAGCGAGTTTTCTAAGCGTGTTAACCAAATCTACTCAACAGTTATGCAATATAACTATACAGCTAAATTACATGGCACTGTTACTCAGTGGAATATGATGATAGACGTTGCTCATGGTCATTCAACAGGAATACTAGGGCTAATTTATCAGGTTTATAAGGCTTTAATCTGTTGGTTATCATGTGGAAGTTAATCTTCAGACCTTAGGATAACGAAGGCATATGATATAGTAAATAAAGTTGCATTTTAACAATATTTTGACCAGTTAACCTTTATATCCTGCTAAAATACAGAGAACAGAAGTAAGCTATTGAGTACTGATAGAGAAACCAAGTCTGAAGTTAAGTATCTTGGATTAATTCTTTCTTCTGACCTATCCTGGTCTTACCAAGTCTTAGCGATTTCTAAAAAAAATATTCCGTCTGACGTTTTATTTTAAGAAGTTAAGGCACTCAGGTATAACCCAACCCCTCCTCTTAAAGTTTGTCAACTTCTGCATCTTACCTATCCTTCTTTACTGTTCATTCTTATTTTTTCCTGGATTGCTTAAAAAAGACTATGTCATACTTCGTAGAACTCTGAAGACTGTCAGTCAGCTGGGTGAGTGGTATCCCATTAGGCCACATCGTTGACATTGTCACTGATAGGCACTTGATGTCATACAACAAATTTGCTTGAGGAACTTTGTCAGATTGTGAGCATCCACCTCATCACCCGCAGCTCCAACTTTGTATCTCCTCGTCAGGTGAAACAAGAAGTCTTTTCAGAAGACTTTATGCACGCACGTCTAAGTATAAAAACTCCACTAAGCCACTTTTAGCACATACTTTATGTGATAAAAACAGTGTTAGGCATGAACTAACTAACCTTCTTTGCACTACTAAATAAACCATTTTCCTCCAGCCTTACAACATCAACCTTTACTGTTATTGTACTTCTTATATTTATAATCATATTAATTTTTTGTTTCGATTTGTTTATTGTTTTTTATTTTAAGTAAATTAGATGCAATATTGTGACAAATGCTGAGAATTCCATTCTCTATTATTAGTAGCGTTTTGGAATAAAGTAGATTATTATTATTATATTAAAGTGACAGGATAACAAGTGCATATTTCACTGAACACTTGTACACTACATCAAGTTACGGAATGCCTTTCTGTTAGCGTTAACTTGCAGTACGAACAGCTGTTTAATGCTATTTTAGAACTCATGCTAAGCAAGGACTTACCCTTTCAATGGAATACAGAAAAAATATTGTTGCTGTTGTTGTGATGACGATTGACCACGATGTCCACCACCACCACCCCCATCATCCATACCATGTTCTGATGGATCTTCTTCTTCCTCTTCATAGTCATCAGGTGTTGACGATGATGATGATGTTGAACGACAAGCAGCACACCAACGAAATTCTATTTTAGTAGAGAAAAAAGTAAGATTTAGAACAACGCATTGATAATTATCACTGTAAATCAGGAGTGTTAAACAATACTTCAGTATTTCCAAGTGTTGGTTTGTAGGTATTTGATTGGTTACAGGATTTTCATCATGAGCTGACATTAGTTAGAGAACCATTGGAAAACCTGCCAGGGAATACTGGACAGCTGTTTCGTCCTAGTTTGGTAGGTAGTTACCTGGGGTTCTAGTGAGAAGTCGTAACCAGTAGGGTGCAGCAGGTCAGGTGTGAGGACAAATACTCGCCGAAGACGTTGGCTAACGGTCGCGCTATGTCGCGAATTGTCAGAAGCTAGAATTCATGGACCATTGGATCGGGTCTCAGTGGCTCAATGGTATACGAGCTCGCCTCGTAACCAGAAGGTCCTGGGTTCGAATCCCGGTGGGTGCGTACTACTGAAGAGTCCCAAACTAGGACGGAGGAAACACCTGTTCAGTACTCCCCGACAGGTTTTCTAATGGTTCTCTAACTAATGTCAGCTCATGATGAAAATCCTGTAACTTCAGTATTTGTAAAATTCATAATTCCAACCACCCCCCCTCCTTATTCTATAAAATAGTTTACTTTCCCTAAAGGTTGTATATTGAAAATGACCCAATAAAACGCAAGATTTTATGCTGCTTGTTTGCCTGTTTGGCTAACAACAGAATCTAGGATACCCGTTTCATCTTAATTCGGACTCCACAGGAAGTGATTGTGTTCTGACTAACTTGACTCTCTCTGAGATGAATAAAATCGAGGGCAGTGCTGATACGTTCAGCCCTAAACGAGGGAAACACACGCATGCTGTGTTTTTAGACAACTTCGATCTAGCTGGCTAAAAAAGCACTACTCGCTGATATGAGGGATATCCTACTACTCATTCGAACCAATCAGTAGCATATAGTAGTAGACACAATTAAGATTTCAAAAGAAAACATAGGAAATGGAGACGCAGAAACATAAAACCTGTCAATAATCGATTCGAACGATCTTCCACGTTTCACAAAAAAATCATACATAAAGAGAACACTATAAATTAAATTAAAGGTTATCGAAATGTTGAGAGCTTTAATATTACTGAATGCAGAATCTGTGGTTGACGCTAAGTAGTAATACTGAATCTCCGATATCTGATTTCTTGTACCTCTTCAAGGTCCTACATGCATACACACAAATGACCACGGGATGATTTTCTCAACTGATTCCACATACTTAGCTAATTATGACTTCTAATTAGGAGTCATGGTAATTCATACCAAAACTGATAAATAATCGTAATCATGACTAAAGCTTTTTAGCATGAGAACAAGGCACAGATAAGCAAGTCTTCTGACTAATTTGTTGTCTGTAACAACGAACTAGAAAATCAGACAGGAACAATTATTCTACCTAACCGAATTATATTATTATTTATCCCTTAACTTTGACGCCAACAGAGCACTTTATATTGGTCGATAGTATTCAGCTGGTATTAAGGACTAGAAAGCATAAAATATCGTTTACACCATAATGACCAGTAAGTATATCCAATTCATGGTTATATCTTGGGCTGTGGCATTAGGCAACATGTGTTCACATTTCTAATGTTACATCAGTTATATAGAGGTTTCGGATACTTCTTGGTAAGAACAGGAAAAATGAATACGAAATGTAGGCGGCAAAGTTCCCTGTCATTTGTGTTCAACTATCAAAAACAGTAATAAATATATTTGTTGAACCACATAAAAAAACGGAGACCATCTCATAAACCACGTGTCAAAGTTAGTAGAATGAAAAAGCTACCTGGGGTTCTAGGGGAAAGTGGTGACCAGTAGGGTGCAGCAGGTCGGGTGTGAGGACAAATACTCGCCGAAGACGTTGGCTAGTGGTCGCTCTGTGTCATAAATTCGCAAAAGTTAGAATGCATGAGCCATTGGATCGGGTCCAAGTGACCTAATGGTCTTCGAGCTCGCTAGCCTTGTAACCAGAAGGTCCTAGGTTCGAACCCTGGCGGTGGGTGCGTACTAGGACGGAGGAAACAGCTATCCAGTACTCCCAGTTGGTTTTCCAATGGTTTTCTAACCAATGTCAGCTAATGATGAAATCCTGTAACCAATCAATCAAATCCCTACAAACCAATACTTGAAAACGTTTATTTATCTATTCAAAAAAGACGATTGTAATCACCCGCGTTGGTACTATTATTATTACTTCCTCTTCGGACTCCCAGTGAAACATAAGGCGTCAACAGCACACTATCTACTGTCTTCCTTAACTAGCTTTTAGACTGCCAACAAGCTCAAGTTCTCTCGTCGGATGATCCCCGTCTTGTCACCTTGTCTGTCTGTCTGGATACAACATAGAACTTGGCACCGAAGTGCACCAGTTCGAGTTGCCACGTTCAAAATAGCACACAAAGGTAGACAAGAAGATGAGTGAAGAGAATCAATAGAGTTTTGACAAGTATATAAGAGTGAAACAGAATGAGTAGTGGTAGAAAGGAATATGAAAGATTACAGAGACTGAATACATCTGCGTAAGCCAGCCACTGACAACGATTTTGAGCCATGTCACCTATTGTCTCCAGTCATTGATTCTTAGAGTCCCGAGGGCCGTAACCCGGAAGTCTATATCTCCCTACCTGACTCAGTTTAACTGTCAAGGATTTCATGGATTGATGAGGCCATGTTTTTGTTTGGCCACCACTTACTCTTTTCCAACCTGCACCTATATCAGCTAGTAATGCCCGTACGTCGGGGGAGGCGATGGTTAGGCATGCCCAGCACGTGACCTAGCCATCTCAATCTATGTAACTTCATAGCCTCTTCGATTGATTCTCCCTCTTTGCCCAACACTCTACGCCTAACGTCAACATTACTTACTTCATTATTATGCCTCCTAACGTGAGAAAGAGATCGTAAACATCTATGATCAAAAACAGTCAACCTTTTCATGTATTCAACTTGTATTGGCCATGTTTCAGAGCCATAGAGTAGGACGGAGCAAACTGCTGAGCAGTATACACGTCCCTTGGTTGATAGCCGGATGTCACGTCTACGCCAGAGATGATGTAAGTTAGCGAAAGCAACTCGAGCTTTTTGGATCCGTGCTGAGATTTCGTCACCAATCAATCCATTGGTGCTGATACAACTTCCCAAATAGGTGAAGTGGTCAACATGTTCTATCACTTCACTCCCTATCACTAAGCTAGGGGTAGACGTAGTCCAGTCCTGTAGGAGCCTCTTACATTTTACAGGGGCGAATCGCATGCCAAACATACGAAGATTGCTCCTCAAGGTGTTCAGAAGACTCTGCATTTTGTCAGCGTCCTACCCTAACAGGACTATGTCATCTGCATATTCTAAGTCCATAAGACTGTTCCCTGGTAACAAGTCGATTCCTAAGTCGTTAAGTTCAGTTAAGGATACTTCCATTAGCATATCTATGATGAAGTTAAACAGCCAGTTCTACTCGAATGTCTGGTATGTGATATCATCCCTACTACTACAACAACCAACGTGTTTTAGAATTTGTATGCATCTTAAATGGTAAACATGGAAATGTGGTTCATTGGCTTAAGCAAGCGACTTGTAGTCAACGAGTCCTGGGTTCGAGTCATCGACTCACCTCCTACTGACTTGAGCAATATCATGATACAATATCAACTGTGGTTTATAGCCTGTTAGGCCACTGTGTGACATCGCGCGTCAGGCCATAACTCGAGTGGAACCCCAAAAGGGAAGCAGCGAGTGGGACTTCCAAAGGTGACATGGAGGAGATCGTGTGAAGAGGAGTTGAAACAGTATGGACTAACATGGATGCAGGTGAAAAGTACAGCAGAAGACAGAAACAAGTGGAGACGTACAGTTGAAGCCCTATGTTCCACTAGGAACCCAAGGGAACAATAATAATAACTTATAGCCTGCTATATGAAAAAATTTCTTCCAGATTATTGATTTCTATCAGAACTGAACTATTCACAATTAATTAGATAGCAGATTGAAAGAAGAAATCCTTACTAGCACACTGATAGTAGACAGTCAGAGACTAACTTATTATGCATACCATTTAATATCAATATCGTTTAAGATAGACGAACTAAACGAGAAACAAATGTTGTTGTTTTTTGTCAAAGTACTATCAGTACTAACAGATCATCTCTTCAACGAATTGAAGATACTCCAGATTTATGTTGATTGAGACTATAAATAATCATAAAACATTCAAAAAAAGAACAAATTCAAATCTTCCTTCCTATTTGGAAATCGATCAATCAGGTTATCTATTGCATTATTATATCATTATGAACTGCAGGAAAAAAAACTGATTATCATAAATTATTATGTTGATGGATTATTAAAAAAACAAACAAAACAAAGTTGGTTAGAAGTAGTATCATCGCGTGATGGTATTACTGTTGTCATATACTACTACTGAATGATTGAATAATGTGAGTAGTTGGAACACATAAGTGTTAAGCCTGAAGTGAATGGTATATAGCTAGAACACAAAATAATCGAAACGCCTGACTGTCGTTCCCAACTACTCATTTCAATTAGTATTATTATTATTATGTTATCATTGTTTCCTTTAATTGCTAGAGGAACATAGGGCTTCAGCCGTGCACGTCTCCATTGCGTTCCGTTCTCTGCTACAGTTTTCACCTGGCTCCAAGTCTGCCCACACACCTTCATCTCCTCTTCACATGACCTCCTCCAAGTCATCCTTGCACTGACGACCAACTCGCCGCTTCCCTTTCGGGTTCCACTCGAGCTATGGCTTGTCTAGTGATGTCACTTGATGGCTTGTTTCCTCAGAGTATGGCCAATTAACCTCCATTTCTTCCTGCACATTTGTTGCACAATCGGTTCCTGGTTGGTTCGCTGATCTTTTCTGGCCGTCTGATCTTGAGTATTGAGCGAAGACAGCTGTTAATGAAGGTCTGTAGTTTGTTTGAGACGCTCTTTATGACGCACCAAGTCTCTGATCCATATAGTAGCACTGACTCCATATTGGAGTTGAAAATCCGGATCTTATTTGTCATGCTGAGTGCTGTTGACCATATATGTATACGAGCATGAGGTTTTAACTCAACCAAGGAAAATCTAAGACAGGAAGTGAGGCATATATGAGAAGCTTTGAAACTTAATAATTGCCCTGATGAATTATTCAGGAAGTATGTAGGAAAATATAAGACTGATGACAATAACAACAATGATGACATGCATGACAAGCATGCATGAAGATATCAACAATAAAGAATTTCAATCATCAGTGGGACTTCCATACAAAGAAAGAAGCTCGGAAACCTTACGGGGAGCACTTAAGAAGTGTTCACAACCACAGCCTCAATTAAAAACAAGCTTTATCGGTTTTAATGATCCTTTAGAGATAATTCACACAATTTAGTTTATCTAATACTCAGCCGGAATGATTGTCAGGTCAAATACATAGGTCAGAGTATTAGAACAGGTGCAGTCAGACTAGTCAGACAAAACGCCAGCATAATTCAGATCAGTTGACCCTAATGGAATAAGAAATCTGGAGAATAGTTCAGCCGTAGATAGCACTACATGCAATTACACACAACCATACAATAGGATGGATGGGATAGGATGACAGTTTTACAATATAATATAACAGGGTGGCAAGAAAGAATGATATCGGAAGCTTTATTTATCGGATCAACTGCAAACACGTGTAATAGAAATGAATCAACAACTGTCCAGCCAGAAATCTAGAAAATTCTACTAACCCTACGACGACAAATTTGAAGGAATAAAGAAAACTACAAGACGAAAGTTTCGAAGTTGTATGGTCAAAATTGATGATGTGATTATCAACAGCAATATATTCTGTGCGAAACTTTGTCATCCAGTAAATAATACTGTTTCATCACTGTGTGTGATGTATATCTAATAAACAAACAAATATGGAATAAAGTAATCTTACATACAAACAGACAAAAAGTCAATTATCAAGTGAACAGATTCGTCAATACCAATAGAAGTTGAAACGAAGATAATAAAATTTCCTGAGACGACCAATCGCATTCAGAGTCACCAGTAGGGAGAGGGAGAGAGAGTGGGTTGCTTTACTGATGAAGACTTCTGAAAGCTTTATCACTTCAGCCGTCAATGAACACTGAAGATATTGTCTAGAAAGACGAACAAACCATTCAGCTCAGAGAAGGCGACTTTCAGACGAAAAAGTGACCTACAACAACTAGCTAGCTCACATGGTCCCACTATCATTGACGGCATAGAGGTTGAAATTACATCTAATGTCAAGTACCTTGGATTTAGTATTTCCTCCGATCTTTCCTGGTCCTCTCACATCTTTCTAGTGACTAGAAAGATGTTTCGCTTAACGTTCTACGTTAGGAAGTTTAGGCAGTTTGGTATAAAGCAGTCTTTGCTTTCTCAGTTTGTCAATTCCTGTATTCTACCCATCCCTCTTTACTGCTCCCCATTAATCTTCCCTGGACTACTTAAGAAAGACTTTGCTTCGCTGCGTAGGGCACTAAAAGCTGTTAGTAGGGCAAGTGGGATTTCGTTAAACCAACTGGTTAACACCATTGTGGATAGACATATAATGTCATGTAAGAAACTAGCGAATTCTATATTGTCAGACCCCGAACACCCTCTCTATACGCACCTCTCTCCTTGCATTTCATCTGGTAGAACTAGAAGCAGCTACAGGAGGCTATGTGCCAGGACTACCAAGTACAAAAACTCCACAATACCTTATCTGGCACAGCTGTTATGTGATGAGAAAACTGTTAGGCATGACACGATCACCTTACTGCGGCACTCTAACAAATAGTTCCCATTAGCTTTTGTTCTCCTTTCTTTGTTACTATTATATTGTCGCTCATATATTCTATTACAGACTAATTTTATATTTCATATCCTGTGGTGCATTGTTTAAATATGTGAATGCAATGCTGTTCTTTTTTATTTCTTTTATTTCTCTTCTTTTTCTTTTGATGTTGTTGCTTTTTATTTTTAAATTCTTATAAAATTTATGAGGTAATTAGATGCAATATTGTAATGCACGCTGAAAATTCCATACCTGTACCACAAATACTGTTTGGAATAAAGCTATTATCATTATTATTTTTATTATTATATCGACAGTGTTCTACCTTTCACATATATATGCGACTGTTAGCATTAACGTTTGATAATAATCTCTGACGTAACGAAAAAATTGATGTCACTGGGTTGAATTTTAGTCTTAGTACATACTGATTCAGTAAACAACATATAAATCAATCAATAAATAAATCAATAAATAATAAAGTAAAATTACTTTTCTCTTTTTCATCCTCTTTATTTGTTGTATCTTCATCATCACTGATATCTTCAGCTGCACTGATCCAATCCAGATAGCCTTGAACATCTTCTTCGAATTGCATTTGTTCCCTGGCTTTTTGATATTTCCCACGTTTCTTTGCCTTTTCTCTTTCTTTTGAAAACTCACTGTAGCAGTCATAACACACAAACACAGACATAAGACAGGAAAACAAAATAAGAACAGTAGCGTTAGTATTGTGGTGGCGGGAAGGGGATTTAGTGAAAACACACACACAGTGACCTCGTTTCACCTAGTCAAATTACTGGTCATGAACCTGGAAGAAAAAGGAGTTTGGGTGTGGGGCTAGAAACCTCAACTTGTAGGAAAACATATTCATGTCGTCATGGAAACCACACTGTCAGTCATACTAATTAATTTTGTCCTCATTTAGATATAAAATCATCTTTTGATTATCATTAAACTTATTTTCAGTAGGAAATAAAATTTACAAATTTTATTTTTACAAAAATTCACAGAGGTGAGTGAAGTGGTGTTGTGGTGAGTTACATCATATACGCTGTGTATGCCTAGGAGAGGTAACCATTACCAACAATGACGTCAGTAATAATAATAATAGCAATGAATTCAACAAGGAAGAATAAACGTATCATGTGAAACCAATATGTAATGACAAAAAATCAAACAAAATAGTGTCTCAAGTGTTATTCAACCATTCTCTTAGTGAAAACTTTAATGTACTCAGAGGTGTGAGTGCAGCTGTAGCTCAGTGGGTTAAGCGCTTAGTTCTCAACACATTGGTCACAGATTTAAGTCCTTCTCCACCCACTTCAACCTCGGCAGAACAGTAATATCAATAACTTGATATACAGAGAAATAAACGCTGGATTATCGTCTCACGGATGATATGGAAATCGAAGTCAGTCTAGAAAACAACCATATATGTATATGTATGGATATTGTCACTCATGCTTATGTTCTTGGTCAAGTGCATATCGATTTATGGGCATCTTCACTGGCAAAGTTAAACTTTAAGCACCACCAATCACATGAAGGAGGCATTTTTGTGTATAGAAGACATATTTATGAAAAATACATAAAAACTGTATGAAAGTGTAACAGAGGATACCTTCGTCTCACATGTGATAAAAATAGTTCTCAGTTGTAAGTTGGAGTATCAACAGAGAATAATTCCATTGTGGGTAAAATTTATTTTGATAAAGCCTCACAGTGTTATGCAGTAATATTTAATGGGCAATAAACCATGCTCAAAACGCCATCAGTAAATATCACTTTATAACACTTTGAGACTTTATCAGAATAAATTTTACCCATACAAGAACTTTACTGAACCATAGTGCACAAGTTCTGTTCTTATATCAACAAAGCAACATGACCACATTCTCTGCAAGTAATTATTTAGGTCTTCTAACCCAAACAGTAACCCGAATCTTCCCGGAACCTAGCCCTAACGTGAAAATATGCCTAAACTAAACTTAATCTAACTTGAGCTAACCCTAATGTCACCTTTGTTGGTTTAAAGTAACGCTAATTTGTCCATGGCCTAAACCGTTACTTAATCTATCCCAAACCTAAGCTGAAACTTTCCAAGTATTCCATTTAATAAACTAACACTTCGATGAGCATATTTCATTGCTGATGATAACATTACTTAACATTACAAGGTCATTAGTGCGGTCACACTCCATTTGAATTCAGTGGTACTTAAAGTTTAACTTGGCCTCTTCACTCACGCATACACCATAGGCCATATATATATATATTCCTTAGTAGATACGCGACAGTGACACTGGCAAAAATATCCTTCCCATATCATATCGTTGTGTGTTCCCGCTTAAGCACAGCGGACTACGGGAAAAAGGTAACTGAAGTATAATATTGTTGGGGAGTAGTCAAGCGGTAGTCGTCATCAGTACGTTTGTATCAAGCAACGGAGCCTCTGTTCTACTTCAGTTTCAAATGTTATCATGAAATCATATGTGTTGTGACATCATGACATAGCTTCATTTTAGATATGTGTATGTTATGTAATACACACTGATAGAGATGACATTTCCAGCAAAAACTTATTGTTCATAATCATGTCAATGTATTCTCGCCTTTCGCCCTCTTTCACTGTACTATTGGATGGTATACATGAACGTACTAAGAAATAATGTTCACGTGCCGGTTTGCAGGGATTTGATTGGTGACAGAATTTCATCATGACCTGACATTTGGCTAAAGAATCTGGGAGTAGTGAACAGCTGTTTCGTTCTAATTTGTGGCGCTTCATCAATACACACGCGCCGGGGTTCGGACGCAGGACCTTCTGGTTACAAGGTCACCTCGTAGTAATGTAGTGAGATGCTCAGAAAGAGAGAAAGGTTAGTCATGGGATCCTTGTCCAATGAATCAACGGTAAATATGTACAGTCAAAATGACGAAACTTCTACCCCGTGTAAATGGAGAATCTTAGGAAGGATGCATGAATCAAGTCAGGAAAACGTGGAAATACAATGATAGAATTACTAGAAACATTGACTGATTAGTGGCACTTTATACTGAATAAGCTAATCTAAGATTGAACTGTTCTCTACTGCTCAGCAGTTCTCTCCGTCCTTCTCTATGGCTCTGGAACATGGCCAGTACGAGTTGAAGACATGAAGAGATTGTCTGTTTTTGACCACAGATGTTTACGATCTCTTACTCACGTTAGGAGGTGGTATAATAAGGTAAGTAATGTTGACGTTGGGCGTAGAGTGTTGGGCAAAGAGGGAAAATCAATCGACAAGGCTATACAGTTACATAGATTGAGATGGCCAGGTCACGTGCTGCGCATGCCTAACCATCGTCTCCCCTGACGGACGGGCATTACTAGCTGATATAGGTGCAGGTTGGGAAAGAGTAAGTGGTGGCCAAACAAAAACATGGCCTCATCAATCCATGAAATCCTTGACAGTTAAACTGAGTCAGGTAGGGAGATGCAGACTTCCTGACTGATTGGGGCCCGCCCTCGGGACTCTAAGAATCAATGACTGGAGACAATAGGTGGCATGGCTCAAAATCGTTGTCAATGGCTTACGCAGATGTATTTAGTCTCTGTAATCTTTCATATTTCTTTCTACCATTACTCATTCTGTTTCACTCTTATACTTGTCAAAACTCTATTGATTCTCTTCACTCTCATCTTCTTGTCTACCTTTGTGTGCTCTTTGGAAGGTGGCAACTCGAACTGTTGCACTTGGGTGCCAAGTTCTATGTTGAATCCAGCCAGCCAGCCAGCTACTACACAGACCGAATCCTACTCTTACACTAATAAATGTAGCTTTTTATCTCCATTGGGTAGCTGAGTACAAACATAACATACATACTCTTCTCAAGTACTTATTGTAGTACATGGCAGAATTTAGAGTATTCTTTGATATCTGCAGTGGTCTACTCTAGCATACATTATCCATAAATTCATTCTTATGAGTTAGATACTTTAATACATTAAACCATTATGAATGGAAAAGACAACACAATAAGAAGACACGGTTTATCTGAAACATGTAATGTACTTGCGCAACACATTTCGGACAACATTCTGATCACACATGCATACTGGTGATACACAATTATATAAGCGGCAAGAAGGCATGAATTATTACAGTACAGGTTGGATTGAGTACAGGTCAAGTCACAAATAATGCTTAGGGAGATGACGCAAAGATGTGGGTAAGAAAGAAAGGAAAAAAACAAAGAACAAATTGGAAAAAATTGTGAAGTAAATTAAACCTTGGTTCTAAATTAAATTGGATAACCAAAGCAGGTTTAAAGTAATAACAAATAACTTTTGGACACATAAGACAGGTTTAAGTCTTTTTACGGCCAAGGCTTCAACGAATTTAAGTATGTGACGCAACCTTGTTTTATATATGGGCTTTAAGGCATTGTTGAAATCAACCTTATGACCAGTCTCAATAATTTCCTTCACTATGGTTGATGTTGAACATCTGTCTCCGGGATTAATTGTGTCCGGAAATTTTATTTGTTGTTGTAGCCACTTTCAGATATGTTCTGTAACACTAACCTGCAGAGACCACTGGGTCCTCTCTATGTACGCGTGTTCGCACATCCATGTAAATTGATAAAAACAATGGGATGTGAGGCTTCACGGGGTAGCATAGATCTCATTTGCTCAATGAAGATAAGGTTAGCAGAATAGTAAGTTCTATTAATTGACATCTTGAGTCTTCCTTTAGTGATCAGACTCTGTTGATCACCTCTGGAAGGCAAAGATATATAAACATACTTTTTGAAAGCTAACTGGATCGATACTTACTTCCTTAACGCTTAATAAATCTTAGCGGGTAACTGCTATCTCACAATATTTCAGTGAGGTGTTGTCTCTCTTCTTCAATTGTGTCGGCAGTACATATACGTTGAATGCGTTTGAAAAACGGGATAAATTTAATTTTACATCAGGATAAGGGTTTTATTTGTTTAAATTGTTTCCTGTTTCCTGTATATTGATTTACATTGAATCAAAATACTGAGTGTGCGTCGATGGCACAGTGGTTAGGACGCTCGCCGACCATGCACATGGTCCGGGGTTCGATTCTCGGCCGACGCACTCCTTTACCTCGCTGAGCCAGAAATAAAAGCTGGTAATGTGGAAAAGTTGGGTATGAGGCTATCAACCTCATCCTGTAAAAACAACATTGCTACAGAAACTTCAAGCCTTTAGCTTGAAGGCCTATGTTCCACTGGGAACGTGAAGGACAAAAAAATACTGAGTATCCAAGTGTTGGTGATGAGAATCCTGTAACCAATCAAATCCCTACAAACCAATACTTGAATAGCAATGAGATGCTCACTGGCGACTGGCCCTATTCAGGTAGGTAGTTACCTGGGGTTCCAGTGAGAATTCGTGACCAGTAGGGTGAAGCAGGTCAGGTGAGAGGACAAATACTCACCGAAGACATTGGCTAGCGGTTGCGCTATATCGCGAATTGGCAGAAGTTAAAATTCATGGGCCACTGGATCGGGTCCAAGTGGCTAAATGGTCTACGAGCTCGCCTTGTAACCGGAAGGTCCTGGGTTCGAACCCTGGCGGTGGGTGCGTACTGATGAAGAGTCCCAAACTGAGGCGAAACAACTGTCCATTACTCCCAGGTTTTCC